AGATAATAGATATTAAAGATATATTACTTATTTATCTATTTATATCTATCTACATAGATATGATATCTACATAGATATGATAGATAATTGATAGATGTATAAATACATTATCTATTTACCTATCTACTCTCTCATCTCTCTCTAGATACAGATATAAATGATAGATAATAGATATTAAAGATATATTACTTATTTATCTATTTATATCTATCTACATAGATATGATAGATAATAGATATGATAGATAGATTATCAATCATATCTATTATTTATATTTATGTAAGATAGATAGATAGATAGATAGATAGATAGATAGATAGATAGATAGATAGATAGATAGATAGATAGATAGATAGATAATATATCTTTAATATCTATTATCTATCATTTATATCTGTATCTAGAGAGAGATGAGAGAGTAGATAGGTAAATAGATAATGTATTTATACATCTATCAATTATCTATCATATCTATGTAGATTGATTGATTGACAAGATAATATGTGTGTCTGTCTGTCTATTTATCTCATCTACCTATCATATCTATTTATCTATCTATCTATCTATCTATCTATCTATCTATCTATCTATCTATCTATCTATCTATCTATCTATCTATCTATAATATATCTATTATCTATCATTTCTATCTATGACTATAGATAGATTGCTAGATAGATGCATAGATACATTGTCTGTCTGTCTGTCTAGCTAGCTAGCTAGCTACTTACCTACCTTCTCCCTCCCTCTCTCCCTCCCTCTCTTTCTCCCTCCCTCCCTCTCTTTCTCTCTCTCTCTCAATAGGCTGCCTGTGTAAACTGCTTGGAGTGGGCTGTATGGGAAGCCCTGTGAAGCAGCCTATAAGTCCAAGCCCTGTGGCTATTTCCTTTGGCGAGCGGGCATCAGAGCTCCATGTTTTCATGAGCGCCCGTCTGTTCCCAGTAAAAAAAAGAGTGACCATTGAGGTTCTCTCCTCTTCCAGAACTGAACCAGGAGCTGACACGGGTGGACACCCGGGTACATACCATGCAGGAAGAGGTCAACGTCCTGCGATCCTACATGGACAAGGAGTATCCCCTGAAGGCCGTCCAGATCGCCTCCCTTCTGCGCACCATCCGGAACCTGAACGAGGAGCAGCAGGTGGGCGGGGGGATGTCCTTCCCAGGCCCCCAGTCTCAAGGGTGGGGTGGGGTGGGGGCGTGGGGTCCTTGGACCCTTCTTTAAAGACCCCCCCTCCCCTTCCCGCCGTTCTGCCTTCTCCAGGATGAATTGGAAGACACCGAAGATCTGGCCAGGCGCTTCCTGGACACCTTAACTAAAAAAGCCAGAGACGAGCAGGAGCGCATTCTGCATTCTGTGGCCGATGTGAGTGGACATCGCTCTGACTGGCCCCCGTGGCACCTTTCCCCCCCCCCACACCCCCGTCAAAAGGCAACTGGACTTTCTTCTGTATTTTTTTCCCCCCTTTGAAAACGTTTCACTTCTCATCCCAAGAAGCTTCTTCAGTTCTAGCTGAGATGCCGGACAGCCTTTTTCTCCTGAATGGTATATATTATGGGGTCTCCTGCTTGAGCAGGGGGTTGGACTAGAAGACCTCCAAAGTCCCTTCCAGCTCTATTCTTGACTAACAGAGTAACAGAGTTGGAAGGGACCTTGTAGGTCATCTAGTCCAACCCCCTGCTCTAGTAGGAGACCCTACGCTATCTCTGACTGAAGGCAGTCCAGTCTCTTCTTGAAAGCCTCCAGGAATGAAGCTCCCACAACTTCCGAAGGCAACTTCTGTTCCATGGGTGGATTGCTCTCATGGTCAGAAATTTCCTCCTTATTTCCAGGTTGAATCTCTCCTTGCTCAGTTTCCATCCATTATTCCTTCTCTGCCCTTCAGGTGCTTTGGAGAATAGCTTGACTCCCTTCCTCTCTGTCCTCGACTTACGACCGCAATGGAGCGCCCCAAATTTATGTTGCTAAGTAGAGTAACTCCAATTTGGAAGGTTACAAATTAATAATTTTCAGTAGCTTCTCTCCTTGGTCAGTTTCCATTCATTCTTCCTTGTCTGGCCTTCAGGTGCTTTGGAGAATAGCTTGACCCCTTCCTCTCTGGGGCAGCCCCTCAAATATTGGAATATGCTCTCCTGTCTCCCCTGGTCCTTCTCTTCCCTAGACCAGCCAGGCCCAGTTCCTGCAACCGTCCATCGTAGGTTTTAGTCTCCAGGCCTTTGAGCATCTTAGATAGATTCAGATTAACAGAGTTGGAAGGGACCTTATAGGTCATCTAGTCCAACCCCCCTCCCAAGCAGGAGACCCTACACCATCTCTGACAGATGGCAGTCCAGTCTCTTCTTGAAAGCCTCCAGAGATGAAGCTCCCACAACTTCTGAAGGCAGCTTCTGTTCCATGGGTTGATTGTCCTCACTGTCTGGAAATTAATTCCTCCTTATTTCCAGGTTGAATCTCTCCTTGGTCAGCTTCCATCCATTGATCCTTCTCTGGCCTTTGGGGGCTTTGAAGAATAGCTTGACCCCCCCTCCTCCTCTCTGGGCAGCCCCTCCAATATTGGAAGATGCTCTCCTGTCTCCCCTGGTCCTTCTCTTCCCTAGACCTGCCATGCCCAGTTCCTGCAACCGTTCTTTGTATTTTTGAGCCTCCAGTCCCCTAATCCTCTTTGTTGCTCTTCTCTGCACTCTTTCTAGAGTCTCCACATCCTTTTTATAGTGGGGTGACCAAAACTGGAGGCAGTACTCTAGGTGTGGCCTTACTAAGGCTTTATAGAGTGGTGTTAGCGCCTCCCTTGATCTTGATTGTATCCCTCTGTTAATGCAACTGAGGATTTCATTGGCTTTTTCAGCTGCCACTGCACACGGCTGGCTCCTCTTTAGCTGGTTGTCCACTAAGGCTCCAAGATCCCTCTCTGAAGCCTTAATTCTGTCGTTCCTTTTTGTCGTCCTAGAAAAAGCTCTTGCAGTACCAGGACGGACTGGAGCAGATGCACCGGAACAACACGGAGCTGAGAAGACAGATCGACGTGCAAAAGGAGGCAAGGAAATCGGGGAATCGCAGCCAGTTAATTGAGCCAGGGGTTTGATCCCCTGGTGGCCCCCTATCCCGCGGGATAACCTTCCAGGAGGTTCCGTGGCCGCTAGAAACCGTCCCGCAGGGAGGGCAAAGAGAAGTCCTGAATGGAGGTCTTTGCGAGACAAGCAGTCCTTGAGTTACAACGCTTCGTTTAGTGACTGTTCCAAAGTTACAACGGCACCCCCCCAAAAAAAAGCGGCTTACGGCCTTTTTTCCACCCTTACAACCGTTGCAGCATCTCCGTGGTCGTGTGAAAAATACAGACCTTTGGCAACAGACTTGTATTTATGACGGCCGCCGTCTCCCGGGGATCACACAATCCTCTTTTGCAAGCTGGATTCACTTTGCAACTAACTTTTAACGACAGCCGTGATTCGTGAAAAAAACACTGCAACCGTCCTAAATGCGAGTCCGTTGCCAAGCGTCTCCGGATTTTGATTTAGCGACGACGGGGGACGCCGCCACGGTCGTAAGTGTGGAAAACGGTCCCGAGTCCCTTTTTCCGATGCTCTTGAACAGTTGTAAGTCAAGGACATGGGACGCGGCGGCTCAGGGGCTAAGACGCTGAGCTTGTCGATCCGAAAGGTCGGCAGTTTGGCGGTTCGAATCCCTAGAGCCCCGTAACGGAGTGAGCTCCCGTGACTTGTCCCAGCTTCTGCCAATCTAGCAATTTGAAAGGACGTAAAAATGCAAGTAGAAAAACAGGGACCACCTTTGGTGGGAAGGGAACAGCGTTCCGTGCGCCTTCGGCGTTGNAAGGAAAGGGAGGAGGAGGGAAGGATGGAAGAAAGGAAGAAAAATGGGAGGAAAGGAAGGAAGATATTGATGAAGGAAGGAAGGAGGGAGGGAGGAAGGGAAGGAGGGAGGAAAGAAAGTGGAAGGGGGGAAGGAAGAGAGAGGGAAGAAGGAAGCTTGGTTGGAAATCTGATCTTGAAGGAAAGAAAAAGAAGGAGAAGAGAAAAGAGGAAGGAAGGAAAGAAAGAAGAGAGGAAGGGAGGAGGAGAGAAGGAAAGAAAGATGGAAGGAAGAAAAGATGGAAGGAGAGGAGGAAAGGAAGGAAAGGATATTGATCAAGGAAGGAAGGAATGTGGTAGGAGGGAGGGAGGAAAGAAAGGGGAAGGGGGGAAGGAAGAGAGAGGGAAGAAGGAAGCTTGGTTGGAAGTCTGATCTTGAAGGAAAGAAAAGGAGGGAGGAGGAGAGAAAAGAGGAAGGAAGGAAGGAAAGAAGAGAGGGAGGAGGGGAGAAGCAAGGAAGGAGGAGGGAAGGGGAAGGGAGGGAGAAAACAGGAACATGGGAAGGAAAGGGGAAGGGAGGGAGGAAGAAAGGAAGGAAAGGAGGAGTTAGGAGGGAGAAAGGAGGGAAGGAGGAAGAAAGGAAAGAAAGAAAGAAAGGGGAAGGGGGGAGGAGGAGAGAAGGAAGGCAGGAAGAAGCTAGGTAGGAAGGTTGATCTTAAGGAGGAAGGAAAGAAAGGAAGGGAGGGAGGAGGAAAGAAAGGAGGATGGAAAGAAAGAAAGAAAGAAAGAAAGGGGGAGGGGTGGAGGAAGGAAGGAAGGAGGGAGGAGACAGGAAGGGAAGAAAGTAGGGGGAAGGAAGGAAGGAAGGAAGGAAGGGAGGAAGCTAGGTGGGAATTGACCATTCTAGGACTTGGGGGGTCTCCTTGGATGGACTGGACCTCGTTTGTCATCCAGGATTCCTTAGCCGAGACAACTTCAAGGCGGCTGCATTTCCATTCCCAGAATTCCTCACGGGGCTTTGGAGCAGCCGAGGTGGAGACACAAACACCCACCCACCCCTTTTCCCCCTTTCCCTTCCTTCCCGGAACCCCCTTAGAGGCTCTCGAAGAGCAAGATGGCCAGCCTGGAGGAGCTGAAGCGCCATTCCTTGGTGCTCCTGGAGAAGAACACAGACCTGATGGAGACCATCCAGGAGGCGGAAGCCAATTCGGCCTACCAGGCCAGGACCCTCCTGCAGCAGTACGACATGTTTGGGGTGAGGCTGCCTGAGAAGGGCCAGTTGGGGCCCAGGGAGGCTGGGG